AAATTGTTGATATTATTAATTATTACTAGTACCCCAAACAGATACACACACACGTACAGGAATGCATAAACTTTACTTACCCCTTTCCCTATAGCTGGCCAGTGCACCAGACACCATTTTATTTAATGACAGATCTCCTCTGCTGTAGCTGATGTACAGGTAGGCGGCTCCAGTACTCAGAATCAAAATGGACAGAAATAGGAATTTGGAAGTCGACCAAAAAGAAACCATCTTTATTATATAATAACGTTGGCTTGTCTTTTTAAAACTAAGATGATGAATTGAGTGTAAGTGACAGATTTGCCTACGATTCAACACGTCGCACTTAGTTCGTCCAAAGTAGATTCTGCGAGGAGCGATCTGGATTGCACAAAGTCTTCAATTGTCGTTTTGCTTTGACACCTGCAATTTAAAAGAATTGTTGGAAGGGAAAGGAATAATTGCTCCAGAGTTACAAAATAACATTAGTAAATCAACCAATACCAGGATGTGACACGTATTCGGCATAAACCACTACAACAGTGAACAGGACGGTAAGAACACGGCTCAATTTAGAGACAAAGGAAGATCTTTATCACCGCAGGTACGCAAGATTCGTTTTCCAAAGTTACCCCAACAAAGCCCATTTTCGCACTTGAACTTGGTTTCCTCAACTGTAACCTGTCTGCCAAAAATCATGAGCATCTATCCATGCCCCAAGTGTTATACTGAAATGCACAGTCTCCAACGCTAATGCAGACTTATTTTATCACCTTCCCACGAGGGCAAACCAAACCCGTGAAGCGTGAAGCCATTGTAAATAATGTTAATAAATGTTGTTGCCTTCGACAGAAGGCTATAAAATCGCTTTTGCACTGTTTTGTAGATTATGCACGATAAAGTTTGAAGGCATGGTCCATGGCTCACGATTTTTGGCAGGCAAATTGTCTTAGTGATGGGCATTGTGATGGCCAGAAATGGGCTTCGTGGGGGAAGGGGGGGGGGGGGGGCTCGTCACTGAATGACATCCAGTAAATTTCTAGCGGGGACCAATCAGAGGGCTGCTGAATAATTTGAATAATTTATCAAGGCCCACGGACGCGGTTCTTTCACTTGTAAAGTAGCCAATTACCACCGAGCCGGTGGCACACGATGGGCGAAAACATGTACTTCACACCCATTGTACGTCGACATAAAGCGCTTATACATTACAAACAGAATTTTCGTAGGACTGCCATTACTTTAGTTTGCAGCATGTGTATTGAGAACGAGTATCTTCATAATTCTGCTGGCTGTTTGTATAAGAACGGCACAATAAAACAGTTTTCAATACCAACACGACTTAGCAGATAACACGTAATGAAGCCCACTTTTTACGCAGATTGTAGCACTACGTAATGTTACACAAACTAACAGTAGATGTTTTAAGGAATTCACAGAAATGACAATGATAGATAATGTAACGCATATACATTATACAGCACAAAATGAAGAGTAACAGTAATGTAGTCGTCTTTGGCCGGGTATGGCAAGTTATAGTATACGTACATGTATCGGTTCAATCTTTAACGGGTAAGTTGACAGCAACAAGCAAGATGCATAGGTTCTATTACTTTTGTAGCTCACTTGCGTCTAGATTTGGGACGAACCCATGTTACTTTTTCGCCGCAGTTTTTCATGTAGTGGTTACTTCGACAGCCTTTCCGCTGACGCAAACATAGTTTGAGGTTCCACAGTTCTTACAACGTTAGCGCTTGAAGTTGCTGTAGTGTTCTCCAGGTTTGTTGGTCTGGTGATGTTGTCTTTGTTGGCTTGTTGTCTGTCATTTCCCTCCATTTTTATGTTTGGCGGCCCGTCTTCGATGGGTTGGGTTTGGTTCACAAATCTCGGCTTCGCTAAGATCCGTTCCTTGCCGTACATAGTGGTCGCTCCATTAGCGCTGGTGCAGCCCCATTTGAATGTGTAAAACTTAATGTCTACAGTCCCGTTTTGATTCGTTCATCAAAGTAGATTTTACTAAGGTATGACTTTACTAACTGATTGTGGAAGTACTACTTAGTACTGATGTAAACAAGAAACAATATACGCGCTCTGGTTGAGTTCATGGCATTTACATGAAACAAGGTGCTAGTCAGTGACGCGTCAGCAGCCCTATGATTGGTCCCCGCTAGAAATCTACTGGATGTCATATAGTGTA